GATGTTGACTTTTCCAAACGGTCAGAAGGTTGTTTTCAACCGGCCCTCGGCAAGGTTTGATTGTCATTTGGTCCCAAACTCTTCCCTGGAGCTGGCAATTGCTGTTGTCCAAATATGTACTTTCCCTGAGCTTCCTCGGGTTTGAACCGGGTGCGCAAACACTTGCTATTTCTGAGGCAAGCAGCGGGCTTTTCGCAACTACCTCAGAACTGCAGTGTGACTCTGCGTGTTCTGGCAAGGCAGAAGGAAGCGCCTTTGAATGTCAGAAAGGCTGCACTCAACAAGTATTGCCCTTTCATTGGAGAAGCAGCTGGGGCTTTGACGAAAAGTACGTAGTCTAGACCCAGGCGATTTGTTGATTGTACCATGCGGGATTCTGGTGGTTGTTGGTACCTTCCAAGCCTTCCAACGTGTTGAAATCAGATACAAACCAATGCAGCCTGTCGAGCTTTCCCAACCGTGGCGCAGCAGATGACCTAGTCCAAGCTGGGCCAGGCTACCAAAACACATTCTCCAATTTAATGGGTGTTTCTAGGGGTTGATTCCCCATTCTTTTCAAGCATCGTTCTTTTCAACAACCAGCTGTTTCTTCAGGGTGTTGGGTGTTTTTTAAGAAAGAAGGATGCCTGGAAAGAACGGGGAAGGTACCCCTAGAGTGTTTTATGCAACATCAGCTGCAGCAGCCTGCAACCATGGGGCAAGCTCGTGCCAACCCTCGCCATCCTGAGGACTTCCCCAAGCAATGCTTGGAGAGGCCAACTTGGGCGCCGGAGCATCTTTGGGGCCGGCTGCGGAAGGCACGCGGGCAACCCCTGGAGTTGCATTTTATGTGTTTGTTCCGATCCAAGCTTCAGGTTCAACCCCAGAGCTGAGCCTCCTACAGTGCCTGATTCAATCGAGGAGGTAGCGTATTTGCTTCGAGGGCCAATGCACTAGATCATCCGTCTTCACACTATGCTCAAATTAAAGCTGACAATCTGAACAGCACAGGCTGTTGGTTGTACAAGGCCTGCGGTGACCTGGTCCAAGTGAAAATTGCTTTCCAAAGTCTTCCAGCAATGGAGCAGTGATGAACTCCAGTCCAAACTGCTGCCATAATTCTTTAGCGGCCTTTCCAGCCGTGGTGCATGTTGGTAAACCTCAGCCTAAGCTATCCCTCTCAGTCGGATCTGGCCAGGCGGATCCTACCCAGGTGCGCGGGCGCAGAGGTCGAGGGTTGGGCCACTTGATCAAAGGTTAATATGGCTAGCGGCCAGCTGGCCGGAACCTTTGGGCAGAAAAGCACCGCAGCGATGTATCATTGGAGTCGAGAGGGTGATTTTAGTAAAGTAGGATACTGCATTCAGCCCATCGCTTCTCATTGCATGCCTCACTTTCGCATGCCATCAGCTTTTTCGGTCATGTGTGCGGCAGCATGAAATCGCGCATATTTGGGCACCTCAGGAGAAATAGTATGTCCCACATGTGACCCCACTGCTTTGATGCGACCCCGACTTGCTTTCTTGCAAGCAATGGATGGATATTTGAGATGCGTAGTCCAATTTGTGTTTTGAAAGGAATGGGTTCAAGCCCAGGTTGAGTCACAAAACGCCTTTAGGCGGAGGTCCACTGTCTCATCGTTTAGGGATGTTGCAATGGGGCGTGCTCCATGGATCAACAAATGGCCTGGTTCCATCGGAGCTGTAGGCCCCAGAACCAGAATATGCATTTGGTACAGACACAATGGAACGCATGCGGTCCCACTGAATGCCAGGTGCTCCGTGTCTTTGCCCTCCCCAGGTTTGCATTTGGTTCTGTACCATTGCCTCCGATCTCCGAAAGTGTCCAGTTGAGCGGCTTGGCACCACCGAGCTACAGCTTGAATCCTATTTGTCGCATGGAAGGGGCACCAACTGAGTGATATTCCTTTGATTTGATCGTACGATATGACACCCTCAAAGAAGGGGCCTCATTTCCGCCCCTCTCGCGCTCATGACCGTGAAACCTACCAATCGCCAGGCAGCACAGGCCGTGGCAGACCTGGCGCAGATCTTTTTGGAGCGTAGGCCAGGGTCAACACAAATCATGGGGCGCGCTGGGTGACGTCCTTTGAAGGAAACAACATGGGTGTGATGAAGATGATGAATTGTCTGTGTGTATGTGTGTGTGTGTGTGCGGGCGTTTGTGCGTGTGGCTGGGTGGGTGCGTGCGTGCGTGCGTGCGTGGGTGGCTGAGTGAGTGAGTGAGTGAGTGAGTGAGTGGGTGGGTGGGTGGGTGGGTGGGTGGGTGGGTGGGTGGGAGGGTGGGTCGGTGGGTGGGTGGGTGGGTGGGTGGAGGGGCATACTGACGTAGAAGTGTTTGTTATTTACAGACCCCCGATGGTAAGGAGTCCACGGGCTCCCGTTGCAGTGACAAAGCTTGAACAACGAGGACACGTGGTCATTTCTCGTGCGGACCCCCGCCTGAACAAAAGACATGAACTCAATTGTGAAACAGCCAACGGTGCTGATGTGGCTTGCAGTAGGAGTAAGCTGGCATCGTACTGGTGGAGGTGTGCTATGCAGCCTCCGCTCTGCAAGCATATGCCCAGGTGACCAAATGAGGGGGCGCAGGCGGGGAGTGTCCGGATCATTGAGGTAGTTCCCCTTTTGCGTGCATGTTGGTACCTGTATACCTACTCAAAGACATCTAGATGGAACATTATTATGGTAATTTATTGGCAAATGATGGTAACTGCATTTGCACGTGTATACATATTGGTACGTCAAGCAGGCCAGCTGACGTAACGTGAGACGCCAGTGCGTGCTTTGATGAGTTCAATCCTAAAGCCTGCTGTCGACCGTTCCAGCCGATCTGTGTAAGCAGGACTTGCCGTATCCCACCGCCGTGTGCTTTTTTTTTCTCCATTGGATCGCTTTGTGCCAATTATCATGAGAATATCGACTCCAAGAGTTTCTGTGTGGATCACTTCTTTATTTTGGCCCCAGAGAACTGCATTGAGCACCATGGCCTTGGGGCTATGCTTCGACAGGAGTCCAAGTCCCAGCGGCCAAGCCGCACGGAGCGGGCCTGACATATGCCTCACGGGCAAGACTTGACTGCTATTGGGTTGGATTCTTAGACTTTATCTTTTTGGGAAATAAAGGGGTTTTCCACTAAACCCCCAAGAAGTTAAACTTTTTGCAGGGGGGTCAACAGCAACCAAGTTTCCACTGCCTTTTCGTTTCTGGTGAGACTGTCGAGTGTAGACGTGGGTAGCTCCAGTTTGCTTAGTTGAGGGTGCCCAGGGTCACGAAGGCTGAAAAAGGTTTCGTCAGACTGATGAACCGCTGCTAGCGCGGAGAAGTGCCAGCGCTGGTTGGATATCCCCGTCGCGCGATGGTGGGCAAGTAATGGCCAAGAAAATTGTGCGGGCATAGCCCTCACAGAGCAAGTAGCATGCTTGCTCAAGCGGTGAAAGCAGACCAGTCAAGACAAGACATTCACAACACTCAGCAGCCACTGGGGAGCCTGACACTTGGCCTGAGAGGACGGAGATATCACAAAGTGTTGTTTCGACCACCGATCTTGAATGTTTCTTGAGACAGAGCGCCAACCCTTCACCTGATCCACAGTACTGGTCCCAGCAGCAGCTTCGATTCACAGGTCTTTGGGTTGCAGAGTTGCTCTGTTTTTGGCGTGTGGCCCATTGGCTCGGACCTGTGCAACCTCAGACTGTTAGTGTGCCCGGACAGTTCGTGCGATACGGCAACGCACACCCGCAGAGGCAACAAATAAGAGACTTTGGGACATACTACAAGTCTTGCAAGGAGCAAGCTGCTAATAGTGACGCTAGCCTGTGAGAAGAGCACATGGGGGACGGGGTACGCGTGACCAAAGACCCTATAGATCGAAGCGACCTTGTTATTATCACAAAGTTTGTGGAGATATGCAAGTTTGGACTCAGGGATGTTGGCGACGACTCACATTTGTTACAGCGTTTGCAAGTCCCGCCTTTGCTTTCAATCATCGCCAATCAAGTGAACGTATCCACCTGGTGGCATTTTGTCAAAGGTACGTCTTCCTGTATGGCGAATCTCGCCATGTTTCCGCAAGCGCCATCATGGCTCAAGTTTCCTTAAGTTCCCGGATGCGAAATATTGCAAGCAATCGGGTTTGATTCCAGGCCCTTACCATCCAAGCTCCAGCCCTGGGCATGCCAAGTATCGGGTGGGCGACCTTTGTCGCCTTCGCGATTTCTGTCTCGCGGCTCTTTGGGAGGGGTGTCCTTGGAACCCCCAAGCAGCTGAACCGCCGGTTCCCGTGCTTTGTCTTTGAGGGCAAGTTGCTGGAACAGCATTTGTCCAGATCAGGCTCAGTTAGTTTCCCATCATCTTTCTTCATTGTTTCTGCAGATGCTGCAAAAAGAGCGGCTTTCCTGCGCCATTGCGGGGTGTTGATCGCCAAACACGTTTTTTTGTTTTTTGTTTCTTGTTTTTCCCGTTCGCAAGCCGCCCAGGATAGGATCCTTGACAGGAACGTGCGGTGTCCTTCGCCCGGCCGGTTTGCAGCCATCCACTTGTCGGGTTTGCAAATAAGTACCATGATGCCCCGCTTTCGCCCTATTTCTCATGCCAGCTGTTCGGGCTTTCAAACCTGGTGCGCTTTTTCCGTAACGTTCTGGATGCAGGTTGGAACGGCGTGCTCTCACCAGCACAATGACTGATCAGAGGCGACAATGAACCGGTGCTTCAAGCATTGCCCTCTAGCAACCATTGACAGACTCAGCTTTACCCACAACCAATTCAGAAGGTATGCCTCAGCCCCAGACATGCAGGACCCGCAGGTCACTCACTGGGCACCATCATTCAGGAATTTGTCGTTCATGGCTTGCAGCTGCAGCTGCTCGTTCCACCTCAATGTGGTCAACTCTCGACTGTAAGTTGGTGTCGGGTTCAGGGTTAACCTTCGTATATTTGTTCTTGAAGGCCAACCGTCGATCCCAAGCTTTTCCAGGAGCCGACTCAACCTGTTGCTTAGGC